AGGAATGCTGCAAGGTCAGACTTCAAAGAATTCCCATCAGAAGATATGTAACTGATTTTCTCAAAGGTGGAATATTCTTTTGCAGGTTTCAATCTTTCTGAAGGATAAAGTGCAAAACTCCAACGGCCGCTTCGTGCTGCCAATATCAGGCCCTGTTCCTTGGGGCACAGAAGTTCCAGGACTCATCAGGTGAGCTCTGGACCACTGCTCATCCTGTTTGCAGTGCCTCCCACGTACCTCCAGAGGTCTAATAGGAACTGGGCTTAGACTGTCATTTGTGTTGCACGGATAGCTGAACCTCCAGTAAGGCCTATTTAAAGGATTTGGGACTAAGCCAGCCAGCAGTGAAATGCTAAGCTGTTTCTGGCATTCTCTACTCCATTAAATTAGTTATTAGTAATTTATCCTGTAAAATAAGCATTCACTAACATACAGAATAGGGTTTTATTCCACTTGTGCTGTAAGCAAAGGAACTCAGTACTGAAAATCAGTAATAAAACTACTAAGTATGTTTCAATGACTTGTTTTTAAGGATGTTTAATCATGATGGAGATGAAGTTAAAAGAACTGAGTTCACTACTCCTGGAAATTATGTTACTCCACAAAGGGAAGGATCTTTTGGTCTTTATGGAGACAGAGTCCTCAAACTTGGAACAAATATGTAAGTAACTTTCGTCTTACATAGAAACATGAAGTAGATGTTGATGGTTATGAGGTTGTTCAAAAGCATGTCTTCGGCCTTGTGTATTTCTGCCTGTTTTCTATTACCAGCATCCTGAAACAGAACACGTGGACAGATGTGTATGAAGAGCTGTGGACAAGAGCAAAAGTTTGATTTATGTCCACAGTAGAGCTGAGTGAAGAGTGTTCTCATCTGGTACTGCATGTTATGTGAAATGTAATTTGATTTTAACTGCATTCAAGAAATCCTTTCCTTTTTCCATGTTTGTTTTAAGGTAATTTTTTCATTCAAAGAATAACAGAGCAGTGTCCTTTCTTACAGCTTTGTTGCTTGCACATTTTAGTGCCTCAGGACTCCATAAAACTGAACTGTCACTTCTTATTTCAATTATTTACAGTCTTCAGAAAAATACCCTAAACTCACAGATACTGTACTGCTTCCTCCAACTCCTTTATCTCATACAAGTAACGGGGTGCTTTTTCTCATGTGCTTTTTCCTTTAGGTACAGCGTCAGTCGGCCAGTAGAGACACACATGTCAGGATCATCCAAAAACCTGGCATCCCGTGCAAAGGTCAGTGTTGTTCTCTTCCTGTCACTGGTTGAACTGGCTGACCAGTCTGGGCCGGTGGGTCCTGCAGCTGGTCACATGTGGTGGGAGCTTTTCCTTCCAGATTTTACATTCTCTTCCCTTGTCCCTCAATAGATGGGGTCGCTGATGGAAACGCCCAAATGTGTCACCTCCAGATCATTCACTGTCTTGCCCTTTGTTCATCTCATCTATCAGGGAAACAAAATCCATCATTTTAATCTACCATTACAGGATAACTTCAAGGGAACTGCTTCTGTTGTTGTTCTTCTTAGGGAGACCTTATTCAATACCCTTCTAATACCTAAAGGGGGCCTACAAGAAATCTGGAGACGGGCTTTTTACAAGGGCCTGTAGGGATAGCAAAAGAGGGAATGGCTTTAACCTGCCAGAGATGAGCTCTTAGGCAGAAGTTCTTCCCTGTGAGGGTGCTGAGGCGCTGGCACAGGGTGCCCAGAGAAGCTGTGGCTGCCCCATCCCTGGCAGTGTTCAAGGCCAGGTTGGACACAGGGGTTGGAGCAACCTGCTCTAGTGGAAGGTGTTCCTGCCCGTGGCAGGGGGTTGGGACTGGATGAGCTTTAAGGTCGCTTCCAACCCAAACCAGTCTGGGATTCTATGGTTCTTGGAGCCTCTGCCAATCCTCCACGGTCCCTTTTGAGCTGGGGAAGGGCATGTTTTCCTAAAGAACCTTACACACAGGCTTATGCAATGGCTTTCTTGCATCCTATTTTAATCTCTACAGAAACAGAAAGCTGGTTTTACAGCTTTCTCAGCTATTCAATTTAGCTGAGAAATTATCTTGTCCTGGGTCTATAAATTCAAGCATCATTTTATAGCTGATAATTACTAGCTATCTGCACAATCTGTACCACCAACAATACAGAAATGTATTTATATCACTCTGAAGAACATTTATGTAATATCAGAAAACACAAAAATTATTATAGTCCTCATCTCCTGGGTAACCTCACCAATGAACCTGTTTTCTGCAGGAGAACATAGTCCCTAATCCTCTTGCTAAAGAAGAACTGAACTTTCTGGCCAGGCTGCTGGGAGGTCTGGAGATCAAGAATCCCAGTGGCAGTGACACAGGATTTCGACTGAATTTGTTCACAACCGACGAGGAGGAAGAGTATGCTCAGGTCCTTCTTGATTTGGGGTTTGGGAGGTGGTGCCAACATGGACAGCCCTGGAGAGCTGGACAGCTTTAGGGACAGCATAGCAGGGGTTGGGATTTGGTTGTCCTGGTCCAGGTGGTCCCTTCAGAATGAAGGAGGAGTGCTTTTCCCAGCTTGACTTTATTCCGGCTGTCGGCAAGGAGAGCATTTCCCTTACTGGTGTCCCCCCTGAGCGGCACTGGTGGTCAGCAATGGGTGATGAGCCATGCTTCAGTCTGTCCAGGGAACAGAGCCAGCCCTTCAGCCCTTTCAGCTCTCCTCTCCCCAAATACATCTACGTATTTTGGAGATAAGCCTGGTGGTGGGGATGAGCCTGAGAGGCTTGAACACCATAGCCCTCTCCTGGTGGGAAGCACAAGGGTACTGAGACTTTTTGTTACAGGATTTCTGCAGAAATCTACTTTTAATCTCAACGACAGATGTTCCCACTGTTCTACACCTAGCTTAAAAAATCTGAGACAGGGAAAAGCCTCCTTACTGGGGTCAGTACATTCATTTGCCCAGTAGGAACAGGGATGCTGTCCAAACTTCATGCTTACAGGAGCCTCATGAAACCTTTTTTATCATTTACTTGTGTGACTTCGTGACATTAAGCACTCTTTTCATGTTTTCAATCAAGACACGCTGCACTGACTAGACCTGAGGAGTTATCATACAAGGTTATCGACATAGAAGCCACACAGGTATGTACAGCACACTTCAGACCTTTCATTCTCATCGCTCTGCTTTGCCGAGAACTGGGTTTACCCAGTGCAGTAACTTGAGAAATATTTTATAATAGCAAAAGGGTCCAAGTTTCTGAGAAGCAGTGGTTCAGATTAAGAAGTGGAATGGGTTTGGTGACTATTTAATAAGAGAACTTGAAACCTGACAAATATTATGAGTTTATCATTAAATATAATAATACAGCATTAGAATACAAATATTGTAAGTTTTTAGCTGCGTAAGATGAGAGCTGTTACTGGGTCGTTTGCCTGCTTATGGTTACAGCCTGACACCTGCAGCCCTTCCTGAAGGGACTCAGAAGCAGGCAGCTGGGCACATCCCAGCACAGCCCAGTCAAGGCTGGCGGCACCAGGGGC